GGGAGGCAGAGCTGCTTGCGGTTGCATCCTGAGCGCGGCGCGTGCCCACGCCGGGATCTGTCTGGCCGCCATGGCCGCCGTCGGCCCGGAAAGGCGGGGCGCCCCGCGCTGGGGCCCGGCGGGACGGCCACGCGGGTCCGGGCTGCGCGCTGGGAGGTCGGCCTCGGGCTTCGGGCCTCGGGCCTTGGACCTCGGACCCGCGCCGCGAGGACCCAGCTTTCGGCCTCCGCTGCTGGATCCTGCTGCGGAAATAAAAATGAACTTTTTAGGCGGCCGATGAAGTTCCAGCACGATGTGGGGACGGGGAAGAATGGGCCATTTCTAATCTTGGGGCCTAAATTCTAAGCGGACATTTTTTTCTCACGTCACATTAGACTTGAGATCATTCGGCATAATCGCCACACCTGTTAAGATGCAAGAAAGGGATCAAAATACCCGAGGTTTGTTTATGACCAGCTAGGGTCTGTTCAGAAAAGGCTGGGCATTTACAGGTAATATGCACTAGGAATAAAGCTGGCCTCGCTTAAAAAGAGGACCAAAAGTGCAATCGCACACTGAATAAGAAAAGGCAGTATTTTCATGTTGTTAAATACTTGCAAAATCCAGACAAAATTCTATCCTTTCTGAAACGTAAAAGTTATCGAGATACCCCCACAAAATTGAATTTTGAGAACATCAGCACAAGCCCAGGAGGCAATTTCAGGTGTTAGAATTAAATTAACACCACTCCTACCCCTCTCCCTCCACCCCCACCCCCTACCCCCTCAGCCTGCGTTTCTGCAAAGGAGGGTTGAAGAGTAGCCATTTTGTAAGTGTTCTTCAGTTTTCAAGAATTGAGGGCAGGAATCTATCCCCGAGGGCAAGAGTAGATCGTTGAGTTGCACAGAAGTTTGACCAAGCCACCATAGGCCATCACTACTTTTTTTTTTTGTATCTGCATTTACCATGTCTGGAATTTACTTAGTAGGTGCTGATTGAACCGACCCTATTGGCCCATTAAAAATTTCATAGCGAATTAGTATTTTTGGCAACTCTGTTTCCTTTGTGTTGGAATCATCAATTAGTTATTAGTTTAAAACCAGGAAGGCTAAAGAGGGACCTAAAGAAAAAAGCAGTGCAAAGGTGGGACGAAACTTGAGAAGGGACTCCATCCACCACAAGTCAGGTGTGTTTGTGTGGTTTTTCCCTAACCAAATTCTGGAATAAGGAAATAAGTCTAGAAGTTCAGATTGATTGCGTCCTGAGCGCATTCCCAGGTTGTTTTTTTTAAATTGAGGATAAGGACCTATTAATAATTGGTCATGGCATTAATTCAAAGGGTGGGAACAACATTTTGCAGAGATGAAATAGTCTAGACCATGTTCAAATAGAAAATACATACTCTTACAACAGGGTTAAGTATTTTTACATGAAGCTTTTGTTCTGGTGGATGGGGGGGCGGGAAATCTTTGTGTTAATAAAATAGTTCTGTATTCTGATCATGATGGTCACACAAGTCTACACATGTGATAAGATATAGAACTCTATACACCTTGTTCCCATATAACATTCTTCGTTTTGGTATTGTACTATAAGTATGTAAGATGTAACCATTGGGGAAACCTGGGTAAAGGGAATCTATCTATCTTTGCAACTTCTTGTGAAACCGTAATTATTTCCAAATCTAAGAACAATAGTTTTTTTAAAAAAGATGTAAAAATGGTTTCCAAATTACTTGTTAAGGTAGATCACTGAGTTAGCCAGAACCTTTCTACATCTTCTCCATTCCCAGGTTTAAAAATCAGCCTTTTTGGTTAAGGCCCTTTGGGCGTTTAGGCTGAGAAAGCTGTTTTGTACTACTAACATGTTACTTGGGTGTGCATTCTTACAGATATTTATTTTTTAAATATAATAACAGCTAGAAATCTGTGTGATTAAGAGTTTAATAAAGTATATTATTACAAATAATTTCCAAACATTTGATAATTATCATTTAGACATTGAATAGATTATCTGCCTCCTTCAATTTTCATTTGATTTTCATACTTTAGAGTCAGTGTCATTTCACATCCAGTAAATTTCATTCATTGTGTCTCTTGTTTTAAAAAGCCTCCTCAGGGCTTGACCCTTACCTTATTCTAGCGTGTCTTCATTTCTTTTTCAATTCTCCACACTCACAGTGGACAAAACTGTATGAACGTGGGGGCACAGCGTCCTACCTTAGAATGGTAAAGTAAGTCCTCACTTTATTTGCAAAGCATTTACATCCAGATATGCTTTAGGAAGAGTTATTTTGTGTCACATATCTGCATGTAACATGAGATTGGATATATTTTATACGTCTTCCCATCATTTGAGATGCTTCTGTTGATAATGAACATGATGGTTATTTTGGAGAGGAGGAGAGGAGTTCAAAGAAATGCATTCCCCTAGGTTTCATCTATATTAATTTTTAAATAGATATGGTAGGCGTCTCTAGGTTTCAAGATACAGATCACATAACTTAATCTGGTTACAATAAATGGAATTTGCTCATTTAACTATAAAGCATGACCTGATTCAGGGCTCAACAATATTATCAGGGCTCAGTCTTTCCATCTTCAGCTATGCCTCTTCACTGTTAATTCCCTTTTGAGTCAGGTTCTTTTCTCATTGGTGAAAGATGGCTGCAAACGGCTCCCAGAGCTTCATCCTTTCTCACCCATGTCCATTTAAAATGAGAATCTTGTTATGAAGCTTCTAGACAAGAAGAAGCCTTTTTGCCCCCCAAAGTCCTAACAGTATCTCTCTTCACCGTGTGTCCATTCCTGGACCAATCTTTACAAGTACATGTTATCCATCAGCCAACCAGGCCCTATCTCTGCAACCGCCTATGTGCAACCCCATCTAAACCCCTGGCTGCGAAGGGCCTGTATTGATGCTGGGGGCACAGTTAACAAGTGTCCACTATAGTGTGTCTTGCAAAGGCAAAATAAATTCTACCAACCCACCCAGTTCTTTTAGGATTTCGTATTTAATTGTCATTTAAAACATTCTGTCACGGTTCCTCTGGTTTTCCTCTAGATGTCCTTCTTTTGATCTCCCACAATTATCTACCTCATTTTAACTTTCTATATGATTCTTTTTTGCATTGTTTTCCCAACAGATCATAAACAAGACAGTAATGTGTCATGTTCATCTTTGTTTCTCCACAGCCCATCTTACAGTACTATGACACTTAGTGAATAATAAATAATGAATTTTTGGATGGATAAATAAGTCAGTGGTTCTTCATTCTCAAATACATATTCCTAACTACTGGGCAAAATTTCCATATGAAATTTTAAAATTAACATTCTATACATTTGCAGATTTGGAAATATTTACATTATTGGTTGCGAATAAATACTTTTAAAAACTAGATGGTAAAGATACTAACTGAAATCTTATTAAATTGTATTTATTAAAGAAGATAGGGTCACTTTACTGACAAACAGGACACATGCATACATTATCAAATTATCTAAGCCCCTGAAATGCTGTCTCTAAATGATTTTAAATGCTATCTTTTAATAAACTGCCCTATTAGTATTTAATAAATTGCCCTATTAATAAATTGCCCTATATGTATTGCCCTATTAGTGCACAAATTAGTGCTGGAGTCACAGAGCTACCCACAGATTTCTTGTCCATATACTGCCTGTTTTGCACAGTTCTTTTTGGACACTGATTTATGTATTTGATGTTTTTCAAACAGCTGAATGGTGTGTTATGACATGTCATGTTCCATGTATAGTGCATTTTCACTATCAATTCTTATGATTGAGAGCAAATGTTACATGCCCCTAAGGTTGCCTATAGGGAATCTTTGTTTCATTTAATGGGACATCCAATAGCACACTTTGTTTCACAGAGCTGGTCTTAGAAAATTCTTTGGGGAATTATAAACACTTTTGTTTGCAAGCCCAGCGAATCTCTGCTGACTCCACCACGGATACTCCCCCACCAATGCTGCATGCCCAGAGCACTACTGCACTTGGCTCTTATGTTCCTATTTTGTTTTTGTTTTCTTCGATGAGCTGTAGAAGGGCTACACAATATGAAGTAATCTAGCCATTTACCTCTTCTTTCATCCTCTCTGTCATTCTTTAATGAATAGTAGTCTACCCCAATTGCCAACTTAGTGTCAAGGATAACTTGATGGTTAAATCCAGTGTATGTAGACAGTACTTACCTGACTAAAACTGCATGCTGCTTTCACAGCAGTCCATCATCTCCCCTTCTTCAGTAGTCTTCAGCCCTTCTCACTACGAAATACTTCCCTGAGGGGGGCACCTGGGTGGCTCAGTTGGTGGAGCATCTGACTCTTGGTTTTGGCTCAGGTCATCGTGATCTCACGATTCATGAGACTGAGCCCCATGTCGGGCTCCGTGTTGAGAGCATGGAGCCTGCTTGGGATTCTCTCTCTCTCCCTCTCCCTGACCCTCCCCCACTCATTTCACACACTCTCTCTCAAAATAAATAAATAAACATTAAAAAAACCCCACTTCCCTGAGTTTATCCATGCTTATGTTTTTAATCTATTACATATTTGCTAACATTCCAATCTCTGCTTCAGAATCAATGCTTATGAGAGTGACACACCTATCTATCCATCCACCTGCTGGACACCAGCACTTAGAAAATACCCCAAACTCATCATATTTGAGATGAACTTAATCATCATTCCCTTTGAAATCATCCCTGTTTATTGTCTTTTTTTTTTCCCAAATGTTTATTTACTTTGAGAGGGAGACAGAGAGAGAGAGAGAGCACATGAGTGGGGGAAGGGCAGAGAGAGAGAATCCCAAGCAGGCCCAGCGCTATCAATGCAGAGCCCAACATGGGGCTAGATCTCAGGAACCATGAGATCATGGTGTGAGCCAAAATCAAAAGTTGGATGCTTAACTGACTGAGCCACCCAGGCACCCCTGTTGTCTATTTTAAAGGCACAGCCATCCAACAATTCATCTAATTCAGACATCTTGGAGTGATCCTTAACTCTTTCCACATCTTCCCATCCAATCACCCCACAACCTACCAGTTTCAGGTTTGCTTATCTGCGTCTCAAACCG